AAAAAACGCACCATACTCAGCAGCTGTATCCTTGACATCCCCAGCTTTTTCTTTAGCATAATCAGCTACAAAAGGAAGTCACTGTATAATACATTCTTGAGAACTGATCATGATAAAAAAATTAAACGTTTTTTTTTTGTTTCTTGCGCTACGCATATTGCCATGGTCTGTATGTGTATGTGTTCGTGATATTTGTTCAAGGTGCTATTATCCAGGGCATTCAGTTTCCGAATTAGAAAAACTAGGATGCTAAAACTTTACAAGTATGAGTGTGGCCTACACATGATCTCGCAAATTTTAATCCAACTTCCGCTATGCCCAGGTCTCACATACGGAAAATTGAAAGTTTGAACGGGAAATCATTAAGCTGAAAGGCCGGAAAAAGCTAGGAAGCTGAAATTCCAGGAGAATATCCAATTTTTTGTAGAAATTTCGCGAAGCCAAAAAAAAAACCACATATCACTTAGTAAACTATACAATTCTGAAAAAGCACCATAATCTGCGGCCGTATCCTTGAAATCACCGGCTTTTTCTTTGGCGTAACCAGCTGCAATAGAAATTCGTTGAGCACTACATTTTCAAGACTTGCTTAAAAAAACTTTTAAGTCGGACGATTTTTTGCGGCTGCTAAAAGCATTGAAGATGGAAAGTCACCTAGTTACGCACTCAAACTGTTGCTGGCGCCCAGCAGCCCTACCATCAACAGCCAAGTTCAGGATTTTGTTTGAGATAATATGGAGTTTATTAATGCAGTATCTGAGAGAAGCGAGAATCCTCGGCCTGAACACTAATGACATCTAGAAAACACTATGTGCTTAACTAAATGACACCTGTTGCTATTTTTGCTTGTCGTCTTGTTCAGTCAACTAAGATTTGTAATTACCATCCGTTGATTTGGTTTTTTTTGCAATTCACAGCTGCCGATGAAAACCAGCACTATTATTTTAATTGCCTCTCGACAAATTTCGCATGCAATAGGCGGCAAAGCAGGAACCCATACAGCTTCCTACACTTTTGATGTCCCAGACTTTCCCTATAATCATCTTCGGTCTTATTCCAGCGGTTTCCACATCTGCGGTATAGAGGCTACGGTCTCATTTTCTTTTTTTTCCAATTTATTAACTTTTCCAAGTTTTAAATTACGCCACTTTCTCTTTCCATAGCATCCCTTATTATTCTTTCAATTTTGATTAATGAAACGTGAAGCGAACCATATTCGGATCCTGATTTCAGAAGTTTCTTAATTATAATCTTTGCAGCTGTAGCGGCTGCGTCCAGTGCGCTGCTCGCTTCGTCGTACGATTTGTGTAGCTTTTCCTTCGCTTCCCCAACTGAAAAATGTCATTACGTAATTGCTCAGTCGAGGTCCACAGGAAGAAAAGGCTGATAAAGAACTCACTCCTTTTGCCGGTGACCGAGGAACACCATCTTAGGTTATTTGGAGTAGAATTTTATATTTCTCGCCTTCAAAAATCTAATGCTTCTTTCCATCAAAAAAAGCTTACGCTCTTTTTTCTCGTCGCCTCCAGGTTCTGCTCGCAAGGCTTCGTTGTAGGCATTTTGCAGCATGTGCTTCACATGCAGGTATTGCTCGTAAGCCTTCAGTTTCATTTCTTCCGCTGCAAATCGTTCATTTCTCACTTTCATCAAATTTTCGCATTCAGTGCCATTTTTTTCAAACAAACTGAAGAACTTTACAGTCAACATCTTGGCTGCCGAAGTGCTTCGCAAGATCTCTGGCTTCCCTGGCAGCCTTTTGCCAATTTCCCAACGCGACATCCCATGCAATTGCGGATGCTTGCTCGCCTAAAAACGTTCTGCTAATATTTCAGGATATTTGCTCAGTGAAAATACTCGCAGATGTGTTTTAACTGAACACATGTGTCAACTGCTTTTTTTTGAAATATTTTTGCAAACACCAGCAAAACGAAGTTCTGAGTAAAAATCACTGTAAACATGTTAATTCCAAAAAAGAAAACGAGCTTACCGACTCCCTTTTCCTTGCCGGTCAGAGAACTGTATACATTGGACACTGCAAATTGCATCCATTTCTAATTACCTTGATTTTAAACCGAGCTGCTGCTGACATATGTTGTCACGTGCCACCGTTTGAACTGCTTCCGGGCACTTCCGCCTCTCATAGAGAGTGAAAAAAAGATTTAACTTTTGCTTATGACTATTTCATCCAATTTGCTTAGCGATTACATTTTTTTTTTAATACAACATTTTGTGTAAATAAAACAGCGCATGGAATTTAAACAAACTATCTGCGATAACAAGTATTATCGAAAGAGCGCATATTGTCCTCGAAGGGAGAAAGAAAGGGTTGCCGCACACTCGGGTATGTAGTCAAACGAAACAGGAGGAGCTGGACGGTGTTTTCTCCAGGCCAGTCTTATAGTACACTAATACTGGCCTGTGTGCATGTGCTCAGCGCAAAATTTCGGGCAGCTATTTTTGGTAAGCGGTACTTTCAAGTGCGCTCCACACTCGCAGCCTGTGAGATTTCAGTCAAACAAAAAAAAAATGACCTGTATCAGCGATTGATGCTTCAACAGCAACATCCTGCAAATGCAAGGAAAGAGTTGAATTCAAAATTTAAATTTCTCTGGAGACAGCACACTTTCCAAAAGTACGAGAATGGGACGGCGGTCTGAGATTCTCAATAAAACAGCATTCACACTCAAACAACTGCTTTTACTGTCCTTCAATTCAATACCATCCTCTTTTACGAAATTTAGCAGTTGCCATCCTAATTTGCCACTTTGCCTAAGGCCAAATTTTATCATTTAACTCATTGCGTATTACCATTATTATGCGTTTTTTGCAGCTATGCAATGCAAAAACGCATATTGTCGAGGGGTTGTCTGTGTGT